TTTTTGGGGGGGGGTCCTTACTATAACTATAGCATAATGGGCCCCAAAACCCCAGTCTACTTATTAAGGCCCCTAGAAAAGGCTTTGCGCTTAATTGTCCCATGGTGATTTCTCATGGGACTTGGGAAGGTAGACTGTATATGTGTGGTTGTAAGTAGTACATCCTATGACTCAGGCAGCCTCCTCGTAACCCCGACACATGATGCCGTGCTTGCCTTGCCCTGGCCCTCCGAGCAGTAGATTAGAGGTATCAGCAGTACTGTACGGCTTGCCTGTGCAACTTTGTCCTCTTAGGCATGCGGGAGAGCATGACGATGATCGCCAAGCTGCTTCCCGTGCGCTCGAGCCACCGAACCCGACGCACATCATCCCAGGCAGACTTTCTTCGAAGCCTTGCATGCAGAAGCCGGGATCTTCCGGGGTTTTGGGCTTCGGGTTTCGGATTTCTGACACCCTGACTTCACGGTGTACCATCAGGTGCGACCATGCCAAGATGCCAGGTGGGTTCGAGTCATGCTCGCACGAAGATGCCGGAGCAAACCATGCTGTACTCACCACAAACCCACTGTGCGAGTTCTTCGATACCGAATGCCTCAAGAGCCAGCAGCTCTGCGCGAAGCACACCAGACGTCGTTGGAATCTTGCAGCAGTAAACCGGGGCCTGCCCCGTGGATTAGACCCCACAAGGCACTGGGAGTTCTGATCAAGTCACCCTGCATTCCTCAGAAGGATGTTTGGTTGTTAACAGATTTAGCAAGCCTTGTCCACTCAGCGAGGGAATCGGATCCATGCACCCCTCAAGCCAGATCCCCCTAGGCCCAAAACCCTAAACACAAAAGCCCCTAAACCCTAAATTCCTAAACCCCATAGCTGGTAAAGCTTAGTCCTTGATCCTCTCGACTTAACACAGCCCCCCACAAGCCTAGGTAGTATTATTAGTAGGGGTACCCCTTAAAGGGTACCCCTTCTGAACCCTACTTTTGGCTCTCTTAAAAGGGACCTTATTGAGAGGGTCTATATCCCCAAGGGTCCCCCTAATCCGAGCCCCCACAAGCCCAAAGAAGCTCCGCTTAGGAAAGACATCCACCAGCCCGAAGGGCAAAGCGTGGCAGGACATGTGAGAGAGGTGCTCTACAGCCCATGGCTTGAAGGTTTGAGACTGTGTGGGTAGTGTGGGAGTTTAGGAGTGAAGCAAAATGGCAGGACAGTGAAGAAGGGGGTGGGGTGTGGGGAATTAGGTAGTAGCGCTGCAGCTTTAGTTGGATCATCTATGTTCTTATGCTGTAGCGTACTCTGGTGTACGGTTAGGAGGTTGTCATACATCTCTATCTTGCTGACGATGCGACAATGACAGCACAGACCTGCATGGCATGGTATGCATTGAGCCTAGTCAGAAGTATGTTAGCATGTTAGCACGACACGGCAAAAACAGTGTGCCATGCAACATCGTGTAGTGCCATATAGTCATCGTTCCCTCGTTTTCGACACCTTGCAGTGTAAACCCCTTGTTCCAAAACCATGCTATTGCGTTCTGCCTCGTCCTGGTCCTGGTGGCGTTTTTGTTTCATACGGGTGTATAGCCTTTCAAATTCGTAGAGTTCGCTAAACTCTAGGCCTCAGACCCCTAGACCTAAACCCTGAGCGCCTAAACCCGAAACTCCTAAACCCTCATTCCCCAGACATTATAAATCTTAGTCTTAGTCCCTTCAATCCCTACCTAAAACCTAAAACCTCCGGAGTCAGTAGTCACCTCTGGACGGCCTCTGAGAGGCTGCAGCCCTTGTTTTCGATGCCGGCCTCGTCACACCCCTCGGCCCTCGGCTCCGAATGAACCATCTTAGAGTTTACCTAAACCCCTACAAGTAGGTAAAATGGCCAATACCTTCGAAAGGCTATTATTCTACATACTTTTGGGGTCCGGGTAGGGTTTCGGGTTAGGGTGGGCCATCCCGGGTTTAGGGATTGGAAGTATGGGTTTAGGTGGCTTTAGAGTTCCGGGCGTGTGGCCTAGAGTTCTGGGTTTAGGGGTGGAGTGTAGTTTTGAGAGTTCAGGGCTTAGGATCTACGGTTCGGGATTTGGGCCTCGGAGTTTAGGATCTTGGCTTGATGACCTTCTATCGCCCTCAGAGAGACCCTATAGAAAGCCTTATAGATACCTTCAAGAAACCCCCAAATGGATCCTAATTTAGAGAACTACCCCTGTGCTCTTACTTAGGACTCCTACTGGCTGCACCCAAGGTTTAGGCCCGCAGGGATTAGGGTTCAAGGTTGAAAGTTTAAGGTCAGGGGTCTAGGGTTCCTTTAAAGGGGGGAATTATAGGGTTTAAGGTTGAGGGTTTAGGGCCGAGAAGAGTTTAGGGTGTAGGGTAGTTACACTTAATTCTGACACCTCCCTGGAGAGAAGTTCTGAGGGATCGTTGACCGCCGTGCACCAAGTTTTGCAAGTCCGCAGATGGATCTTCAGTCTCAGCTGCGGGTAAAGAGTCTTGCGGTACTTGGCCTGCAAGTCACTCCGAGCACTTCGTAAAACCTTATGCTAGATTTGGAGGCCTGCGCCTCAACCTCAACACTGAAACCCGAATCGCAAAACCCTAATCCCTGAAGGCCGTAAGCCGCAGCCTCGAAAACCTGAAGCCCGAACCCTTAAACCCGACACGCTAGACCTAACTCAAAGGGTCCAAAGGACACAATAATTAGGTACTTAGGTTTCGCATAGTAGTTATGTAGGTTACTAAGTTGGGAGAGTTAGATATGATTATTAGGTACTTGGACCCTCAGGGTAGAATCATAGGGGCCCGAATCAATGCCACTTCGCGTTCCCGTTTTATTTTAATTTCATGGTGCTGCTAGGGCTTGTGACCTGCCCCAGCCTGTAGAACGCAACTTTAAAGGAACTTAACCTTAAACCTTGAAACGAATCCTATGTCAATGATGTTTGCTTATCCGCCTTGATCCGGAACCTCGCTCCTCAAAAACACAGCAAATCAACGCACCCAACTTCGAAGAAGTTCAAGGCCACAGTTTGAGCTTCGCATTTTAGGCGTTAGAGCCCTGTAGACCCTATTCTCAAGCATTCTGGGATCTTCCGAGTACTTGCTTTCGGGGTGCGTTTGAGGTGTAAGTCTTATCTGCGTGGTTTCAGGAGTTTGGGCTGAGGGTTCAGGGTAGAGGGCCTCGAATACTCAGTGACATCATTCCCTACTCGTAGGTGTAGGGGACACTTCATTTATCTTCCCAAGCCAACCGAAATATAGGGTCCTTAATGGTTAGAAAAGAGCTTTGGGGTACATTACACCAGAATTATAATAAGGAGCCCCCAAACCCCTAGTCTAGTTGTTACGGCCCCTACATTAAATCTCGAGCCAATCTCCGAGCCTTCAACGCAACCC